GTATGGTTGCCACCCCTACTTGCAGACTCGACAAGTCGATTTTGAGGCTTCACAAGATGATCCTGCATGACGAAAGTGCTGTAAATACCAAGTAAAACGGATGTGCTCTTAAGATGGTTTTAAGCAAGTGTAGTTGGTAGGGGGGGGGGCGCCTACTACTACTACTACTACTACTACTCCTTCTACACTACTACTCGGCGCTTGTTTCTCGAACATTTGTCAAAATCCGGTGTGTTGAACGAAAGCTTTTGCAGTTACACTTGCTTCCTGAAAGATCCAGCTTTCGGCTGGAGGGTTGGGAAAAGATGTCTACTCAGAGCCTGAGCCAATCTCAATTTCTTACTATAGAGATGCCCCAATGATAAGACATTTTGGCGTCTAATCTAACCCATGCCCGTTTCTTCCCGAAAACATCCAAAACGACCACAAGCCCTGCTGGTAGAATAGCCTGGCACTCGGCTCTACAATGAAAAGCAGAGCTTTGACTGCTGCCTGGCTTCGGAACAGCCCTTCCTTCTTCTCAAGAAGCTGCCTTACTCCGTCCTCAGAGAGCTTGGCATTTCTGCCACCTGGGTGAGAGGAGTCTGGGAAGATGAGATGAGGAGTTGATCCACAAGGCCCGAGTACAGTAGTTGCCCAAAACACGGGATTAGCAAGGGGCCTTAAATAATCAGAACATGGTTTGGGAATATTATGGTAGGATTTCACTTCTCTCTTCCTGCTCTCGATCTCTTCATTTCGACTTTGAAGCTTCGACGGTCCAGGCGAAGAATCTTGGCCTTTGTTGGGCCCTGTCTTGATGCCCTAGAGCCGCATAAACCCGTTAAAAGCCCTGCAAGTCCTAGCAGATAAGCCCCAAACCTTCTTGGTACAGACTCTGTAGGGGTCCGGCTCTTCATCCTATCCATGAGGGAGTTGACCGCAATCCTCAAAGCGGGTCTGGCGGAGGAACGCAATCATGGCGAGCGCTAACGCGCTTAGCAGTTAAGATGCCTTCCAGCAAGTGGGGTTTCTCAGCTCATCCGAAGTGCAGTTCGCAAGGCAGACAGCTCTTCATCGCGTCGCTATAGACACCACTTTCTTATGGAAGCTCCGGAGTCGACTCCGGGCTTTCTGAGACAGCCGCTGCAAGTCGCGTATTGCTTGGTGCAGCTCCAACTTCGGCGCATCTTTGCCAGCGCCCTGCCAAGGGCAACATCTACGGTTAGCTAAGGACCTACAAGCACACAAGCGTCTTCCCAAGAGCTCTCCAAGGCACGGCTGCATTGCTGATGTGGGCATCTCCCGCACTCCGGCTACTTCTGCCTTCAACCCCTAAACCCTAAACCCTATAAACCCCTAAACCCTAAACACTATAAACCCCACCCTCGTACGGCCTTCCCTGCGAGCTTCTCCTTTGCCGCGGCTGGCGACACCGTTTCCTGCACCTGCTGGGAGTGAAAAGATTCAGTTGAAGCCTTGTTGTTTAGGGTTTCGGGTTCAGGGTTTAGGGGTTTAGGGTCTATAGGGTTTAGGGTTCAGGGGTTTAGGGTTTAGGGTTCAGGGGTAAGGGGTTTAGGGTTCAGGGTTTTGGGGTTTTTAGGGTTCAGGGTTTAGGGTTCAGGGTTTAGGGGTTTAGGGTCTATAGGGTTTGGGGTTCAGGGGTTTAGGGTTTAGGGTTTAGGGTTCAGGGTGTAGGGGTTAGGGGTTTAGGGTGTNNTTAGGGTTTAGGGTTCAGGGGCTCCTGGCAGATTCAGACGTCTGTCCGCACAGAAGAGCTGCTCCCAGGCAATCCTTGGGCTCCCTGCCTGCTGATTGGCTAAGAGAATGCCTGGCAGCAAACGGCTGAAACCGAGCTTGTCTCTTCAGGCCTTCTTACATACAGTATAGATTAGGGTTTAGGGTAGTATAGAACATATCATAAGCCCTTACACGCAACAATCGGATTCGATCTAAGGCCTCCTGTGCTCTGTCATGCTCTCTGCTAGGACACATAGGACGCTCGGAGCTTGTTTCCAAATTTCACATACCAGAAGGCGGGTGGGAAATAGTGAGCCAGATCCATATTCTGAGCCCGGTGCCTTTGAAGTGCGCGGAATGGCGATGCAGGGTGAAGCTGTTCTCATTCTCCTTGCCTCAGTTTCGCACACCCCTGCACTAGATGCAGCCGTCGAATCAGAGGCGAGATCGTGCGTGGTCAGGAATGCAGTGTAGCCGTTATCCTGATCGTGTGTGGGATTTCAACAGACATCTTTCTGCATCCTATACGCGCCACAGATTCTGTCAAGACTAGCTCTGCATCCCATATGTCAAAACCTCTGTGCAGGCATTGTCAACTACTGCAAGCACTGTGTTCCTACGGTGATGTGCTTGCGCTCCCCAGCAGATCATGTCTACTCTGCCGAACATCTTGAAGGCTCGAAGTGACTTCGTAGGGCTGTGTGCGCCAGGTTCACTAGGCCACATAATATATAACCAAAGTGTGTTGTAGGTGAGGTCGTTCACGCATCTTGCAGCCATTGCCTTCAAGTGACACTACAGCTTACACATGCTTGCTTATAGCCCCAGAATGTACAACGCTGTGGGTCGCACATAGAAACCAGCTCTGATAGGAACCATTAAAGGACTGAATCAAAGTACCGAAAGCCCAAAGCCTAGGGCCCAGGCTCTTTTTGGGAGGCCGGAAGCGGGTGGGAGGGACCAGAAGCCGCTCTAGGAAGAAGGCCTCATTGGGTTCAGGGTGTAAGGGTTTATAGGGTTTGGTCAGGGTTTGTGGGGAACGTCGGGGGGGGGGGGGGGGNNAAGCGGAGTGGGGGGGGGGGGGTGTACGGGGGCACAGGGCCTCCCTTGAAGTCTTGCTACGGGTTTTGTAGAAGGGCTCTAAAGATCGCGGTAGGTTGTTGCGAATCGTGGCTCCCTCTAGGAAACATGTGTCCAATGTGGTGGTCTGTTTCAACGATCCTTCCTGGAGCGATGGCATGGAAGGCTTGACCATGTGAAGCATGGGTTGTTGGTGGATCAAGGTTGAGTATTGAATGTAGACCCCGATGCACTGTCACACGGATCCATCAGCGCTAGTTTGCTCTTGGGACCACTTTCTCCCAAGTATCGTGTCGATACCACGGCTTTGTAATAAGATTCGCTGTGCTTTTTGCAGGATCTGGACCTGTCAACCTGTCTGAGGTTCCGACATCAGGCCCAATCTCCTTGGCTGCCGGGGCCAAAAACCTGTCAAGCAGAAGCCCGCAAGAGCTTCATCACTGCATAGTCGCTGCAGATGTGGAGGCAGCAAGCAGTTGACCTGACTCTGTGCGACCCAGCAGGCACCACTACCTCTCGCGCACAGATCTTGAAGACCTTGAACCAACTTATGAGTTGCCCGCTCAGGTACAGAAACAAGTGCTGACTCACGAAGTACTCGATCCTGCTGGATCCCACACCCTTCGAAAGAGCTCTGACAAGACTTTCCAGACACCACTGCTTGGAACTGCGTGGGAAGGCCAGGTCTTGCGCTGTCCGATGCCACATCTTCCGTAGAGACGCCTAAGCCTAAGGCACCGCAGCCTTCGATCGTCCCGGTGCAATCTTTTCTTTCGCTGCTGATGGCATGGTATCCTCTAGGCGTGGACACTGTGGGAGATGCCCCAAAAGACCGATACAGTATGAGGGCTCGCATTTCACAGCATACGGTTGGTCAGTGGTGTTAAGAAACCACATCGCATCTCCCGTTCCAGCACTGTTAGTCACTATCACTTTGTATTCGCGTCTTCCTTTGCATGGCTACGATCTAAATTCATGTCCGTGAGAGTCCGACCTGCTCAACCTGCCAGCGCTGAGGGCTTTCAGCCGTCGCTGGCAGGCTGAAGCCAGAATGCTCAATGTCGTGGGGTTGTTGACATCCACAACTGCTGTAACCTCTAAGAAGAAGCGGCTTTAAGCAGTGCTTGTTCGTTCCATCCCCACGGCTCATGCTATGCCTGCACGGCACGTAGCTGTGGGATCCATTCCCAGTGGCCAGTGGCCGCACCGCATCTGATCTTGGATTGAAATCGGTGGGAGGAACTGGCCGGCCACTGCGGCGCCTGATTGGCCACGTGAAAAGAAGCAATTAATTTTCTGAAGCCCTACACTGTTTCCTCGCGCACGGCCCAGACATGTTCCTCCCCGTGCTGTCCAGAGGGCCTGAAGCGAGCTTTGCGCTAGGTTCATGGAGGAGTGGCTCTTCAGAATCGGAAACCAGACTATACTGCCAATGCCCGCTTCAGACACGTCAGGCAAGCATACCCATATCGGGGTATGCAGCCACATCCAAGTGGCAGGCAAGCTGTCCCACGCCCGTCTTGGTCTGCGCAGGCACGTCACCCACGAATTTGGAAGATCTGCCTTGCTTGCCAGCCTTGGAGCTACAGACCTGAATTCAATTATTCTAGTCAAGCCGATTACTTTCAATCTAGACACATGACTCGCCGTAACTTGGAACTTCAGCCCAGCACCCGCCGCAATGACTGGTAGGCGGCTGTTAGTCCGAGCCCCGAGCCAATACAAAGGCTAAAGACTCCGACAACGAAGTGGAAGGACCAGGGGTAGTGCTCGTAGTGGTCAGGGATACTGCGCTTGTCTTGAGGAGAGTAGACGTCGGACCCTTCCTCTTCTTCCCTGGCTTTGCCGGTGAAGACCACAGTGCTCCTTTTCCCACTGTCAGGCTCGTCGATGTGCATGCACATCTCGGGTTCCTCCTCGTTCAATGTCATGGGCGGTATCTCTGGAATCGATGGGGTCGGTGAGAAGCGCGGAGAAGGACATGGTGACATCGGAGGGGAGCTAAGGGGAGAAGACAAGAGCCTCTCTCGGATACCTGAGCCGGGGCCCTCGATCACACATCGTTCCTTCCCCGCCCTATGCCTGAGAATCAAGATCATGACCACCGGCATGATGAAGGTCCATAGCACCGAGCCGAATCCAGTAGCGATGCCCACGATGGCGGTCACGGACGGAAAGACCACGGCCAAGCTCGCAGCGGCCGACAGGATGCCTCTGCAATGCTCTCAGGAAGACCCGCACAAAGTAGTAACACCAGTCAGTTTGTGATCGTTTTCTGAAGAACACGGAATCCTAGTGCACGATAGAATCGAGCAACCTTTTCTGTAGCGGTCCCTCCTGTGGTCGTGACGACTGGCATCAAACAGCAACGAGTAACAGCAACGAGTGCTATGATCGAAGGTGGTTAGAGTTGCAGGCGCTGCTGGTGATAGTGGTGGTGGCTGTGGTTGGTCATATTCATGATGCTGCTGATGGTGTGGTGGTCTGGCGGTGGAAAAGAGCAGCAGCAGACTGGACTGGCTGTAACAGCACGGAGAAGCATCATCACGACAGTTGACCTCAATGGCAGACAAGGGGCATGCCGTGTGCACCACGCGCATGGTGCTGCTCACCGGCCCAGCTGTACTATGTGCTCGCGGAACCGGAACCGACTGGAGTGGTCTGGGCCGCCGCAGCAGCATGAGCACACCGTTCCTGACGGAATCGCTTCAGCAAAAATGCACCACTTCCCGAAAGCACTCCTATGTAAGCCTAAGCTGCCCAGGGCCTAAGCTCCTCCCCAAGGAAAGAACACCACGACAGAGTTCTTGAGCTGAGAAGAGGTTCCTGCAGAAGCGGGCGAGGGCTTGGAAGAGCGCTCTCCAGGCCCGAAGGACCTCTGGGAACTGATCTCGGGCTGGCTGCACACCCAGAGGAAGGGCAACGAGCAGAGAGCAGCCCGTTAAGAGCTGTGCAAGGGATGCCGCTCGGTGATCCTTGGGGTAGGCCAGAAGGATGTTCTCCGGGGTTGCGGCTCCATGGGCGACGATTCCGCAAGACGCCACCACTGCATACATCACCGAGAGTGCTGTGCAAGACCTAAGAAGAACCTTGTTGACTCGGCGACTGTCAGAGTTGTGAAGCTGCCTGTAGACGGGAATCGCCACATGCTGGCAGTACAAGGCGCTCAGAACGATAGACCAAGTCTGGGGCAGAACATGCAGCGTGCTCGTTCCGCGACCGTGCATGATGACCTCCATATGCTCATCGCCCGGCATTGGGCCACCGAGTGCTCCACTTACCACGAGTGTGGCCATAAATGCCAGGCTAAAGAAGGAGATCATCGTGACGTGGCGGAGGACACTCAAGTCCCGACAAGCAGATGCTGGAAATGCAAGGCACACAACAACAATCGCCATCTGCGGCTTCGAGAAACCACCGAACACGGAGGGAAGGACACGGGGCAGAAGGTCTGATAGGAACTTGATGAAGGAAGCCTGTCCGCACAGGGCTTCCCCAACCATGAGACAGGCAAGCGCACGACCGGCCGATGGGCCAAGCACGGCGGAGGCACTCTTGGCGTAACTGTCGCAGCCGGTTATGTGCGAGATGGTCATTATGAGCCGCAGGGACGTCGCCAAGCAATAGGTCCCAAAAAACAGGGTTAGCAATCCCAAAGGAAGCCCGACGAGACTGAAAGCATAAGGCAGCAGAAGCACCCCAGATCCAATGGCCGCCGACATGAGCGTGAAGATGGAGCCCCTCAACGATCCACGTCTCATGGGTCCCAGGGTTCTTCGAACCCATGTGGGAGACTGCGAGCGATCCTGCGCCGTCATGGCCGGATCCGGATGATGCGCGCAATCTTTACAACTAGGAGGTCTCTTGTTACATCTGCGTGTCAAAGGTTGAAAGGATTGGGCTACGTAGCTCCTGTTTCTGATAAGCTGATAGAGGGATGCCCGAGAGGCAGACCAAATGACGGAGCATGGCTCTTGCTTTTGCATGTGGGTCGGGCTCCCCAAAAGGACGTAAGATGGTGCGATTCCTGCAGACTAGTAACGAGTGCACGTGTCCGGAAAGCAGCTGAGCCTAATCTGAATGCTGTCATGGCCCTCTGAAGTAGTTATCGGCTCGAACCCTGCGCCCTTGCCAAGTGACGTGCAGTCGGGCACACATACATGAGGCGTTCTTGACATCAGAAGGTGACTGCTGAAATCTTCGATGGCATCCGCTTCAGGCCTCAATGCTCTGGCTTCGTTCTTCCAGAGGTCCCTGAAATGCAGTCGGCGGATTGTGGGGCATGCTGACGCCGTCCTAAGGCTTCTGCTGCTTGCGCAAGAGCTGGTCTCTGTGCTGAATCTGGGACTTTCAAACCACAAGGGATCCTTGGATTTATCCCAACTAGCGACTAGTGTGATGCTTTCTGCAAAGGGGCCCCCATCTAACAGTTCATTATAGCTATTACGGCACATTATAGTAGAGTAGAGTAGATGATAGTATATGCCCCTTGTGTCTTCAGCGTCCCAAAACATCCGAAACGGGGGCCGAAGAGCCCGAAGTGCCTCAGCAAGTCCCGTGCGTACTCGGGAATGGCTAACTGCTCCTGGCTCGGCGAACTTTCATACATGTACTTTACTATGCTATGCTATACTAATACTATACTATAATTTGTGCTACAATGTTCTACAACGTACTGTAGTACTGCGAAAGGCACGTTTTCTCGCATGCTGAAGATGTTCTCATAGCAAAATGCAGCAGCGGATGGCAGAAGGATGTAAAAGGAATTCCAAGGCAGACCCAGATTGCTAAACTTCCTGGAACAGGGGATGATCATCCTGCTGCTACCAGTGCCATGCGCGTTTAGATCGGGGATTTTGAACCAGGGGTCTGCAGTAACCCGAAATGAAAAGCTAGTGTTTTGCGCAACCCGTCCTTGCCGCCTTTCTGAGTGACGAACAAAGCTTCGAAACCTTCCCTGCGCCACTTGGCTTGCGCCTCTGCGTCAGTCCGGGGGGTTAGAGTTTAAGGATGTTTAAGGCATTGGGATGGAACCGATTTCTGCCAGTTAACCTCTGAGGCATGGCTTCGCAGGGTGGGCGGGGCATTAAGGCTTTCAACTTTTTGGGGACTTTGGGGTCTTGCTGGTCATTGAACTGTCAAGAGGAGGAATCCTAACATCAACCAGCAGAGAGCCCCTTCAAAAATATAAGACAGCCATCTAGAATCCGTACAAGTTTCTGAAAACACCAGCTAAAACCACATGAGACAACATTCGACAAAACCTTATGTACAGAGCCCTTAGAAGCCCCTTGCAATCCTAATATAGTTGCCTCAACAAATCAGATATGGCATGCTTAAAACTTATAATCAGGAACTGCTGAGACGGATATAGGTGATTAATCAGTGAGACGAAACCTTAAACCCGCAGTATCTCATTGTCTCATTGAGCCTTTTCACTCGAATTCTGAAAGTGCTGGCCGCCTGGCAGCGCGCACAGCTTGCGGGGAGGTTGGTGATGAAGTCTCGAATCACCTGAATGCTTCACGCCGAAAGCGGCTTACCGCTTGACGTTAGTTCACTCCAGGTTTTGAGTTAAGGGAGTCTAAGGTTTAGGGGGGAAGAGTTCAGTCAGGCAGGTCCACAATGCACTAGAGCCGGCGATTCACAAGGGGCCTTTACATCGCCATGTGTTTGTCATCACACCATCTCTATTTTATGTACCATCTGATTACTATCTAGAACCCATGGTCTGTTTTAGGTTTGCGAGGTCTGCCTGTCCTTTTGATCTGGTCGTTTCTGTGAACTGGGTGGAAACCGATCAGCTGTCTAAGTCAGTCTGAACGTTGCCGGCTTTCTTCTTCCCGTGTCGGGCGGCCAAATCGAGTTGAGTCTTCAACTTCACAGGGCTTGCAGAGGCTTTGAAGCTTGTATAAGGGTCTTCCGGCTTTCTCTAGCTATTGGCCATTGGCTTCAGAATATGGATAAGAAGGCGTAGGGTTTAATTGGGATAGTTCTCTGAACTTACATGTGGGTGCCATTTTCGGATTCCCCCGAAAAGGGATCCTGATTTAGCGTACCACCCATCAGGGAAGTCTGACGGATTCATATGCAGACACCCGAAGGAGAAATAACCACTTATTCCGACGCCGGTTGTGCACACCGTTTAGTTCGTCGGGAGTCCGGCTTGCCGAATGGCCTCCAGCGAGCTGGACACCTCCCGAGACCAATAATATTCCCTTACAGTTGTTGAAGGGTTATACCTCAGTTCTAAATATATATATATATATATA